TCTTGGAGTTGGCGAAATGTTTTTAAGGCTCATCCATGTTGTAGCATGTGTCAGAACTTTATTCCTTCCTGTGGCTAAGTAATATTCCCTCGTAAATGGCATTTTGCTTATTCATTGATCTGGGGACACACACTGCATTGTTTCCACCTTTTGGTGGTTGTAAACAGTGCTGCTGTGAACATTTGTGTATAAATTTTTGTGTGAACTTATATTTTCACTTCTTTTGGGCATACACCTAGGAATGGAATTGCTTGGTTAATGGTAGCTCTATGTTTAACTTTTTGAGGAAATAAAAAACTGTAAAATTAACCATTTTACATTCCCAAGAGCCATGTAGGAGGATTCCAATTTCTCCATATCCTCACACTTACTATTTTCCTCTTTTTATTACAACCATCCTAGTGGGTATGAAGTGGTGTCTCATTGTGGTTTTGATTTACATTTCCCAGTGACTAATGATGCTGTTGAACATCTGTATTAGTTCTTTGAAGAAATATTTATTTCAGTCCTTTGCCCATTGTTCAATTGGATTATTTGTCTCTCTGTTGAGTTTTAGAAGTTCTTTATACTAGATTTTTTTAAAAATATGCTTTTATTGATTTCAGAGAGAAGAAGGGAGAGAAAAAGAAACATCAATGATGAGAGAGAATCATCAATCAGCCACCTCCTGCACACCCCCCATGGGGGAGTGAGCTTGAAACCTGGGCATGTGCCCTGACCTGGAATCAAACTGTGACCACTTGGTTTACGGGTGGATGCTCAACCACTGAGCCACACCAGCCGGGCTATATATTCTGGATTTTAATCCCTTGTTGAATATATGACTCAAAAATAATTTGTCCCATTCTGTGTGTTGTCTTTTCACTTTCTTGATATAATCCTTTAATTCATAAAAATTTTTAATTTTTATGAAGTCCTATTTATGTATTTTTTTCTTCTGTTGCATGTGCTTTTGGTGTCACATCTAAGAAACCATTGACAAATCCAAGGATATGAAGATTTTACCCCTATAATTTTTTCATAAGAATTTTATAGCTTTAGCACTTACAGTTAGGTCTCTGACCCATTTTTAGTTAAATTGTGTATATGGTATAAAGTAAGGGTCCAACTTCATTCTTTTGCATGTGGATATCCAGTTTTCCCACAACCATTTGTTGAAAAGACTGTCCTTTCCCATTGAATGTCCTTGGAACCCTTGTTGAGAACCATTTAACCATATATGTGAGTGTTTATTTCTGGGCTAATCTCTTTCATCGATTTATATCTCTGTCCTTGTGCCAGAACCACACTTTTAATTGCTGTTAAGTTTTGAATTCAGGTTGTGTGAGTCCCGCAACCTTGTTCTTTCTGTCGAGATTGTTTTTGCTATTAAGGGCCTCCTGCAATTCCATGTGAATTTGAGAATCAGCTTTTCAATTTTCATGAAAAAGGCTGTTGAAATTTGGATAGAAATTGTGCTGAATCTGTAGATCACTGTAGATAGAATTGACATCTTGAAAACGTTGTTTTCCTATCTAAAAAAACCATGTCTTTCCATTTATTTAGGTCTTTTTAAACTTCAACAATGTTTTCTAGTTTTCAGCATAAAAATCTTTCTCCTCCTTGGTTATATTTATTCCTAAGCTATTAATTCTTTTAGATGCTATTATAAATGGATTTATTTTCTTAAGTTTTTTGAATTGTTCATTGCTGATATATAGAAATACAACTGATTTGTGTGTGTTGATCTTGTACACTGCAATTTTGCTAAATTCATCCATTAGTTCTAGCAACATTGTGGTGGGTTCTTTGGCATTTTCTATGTATGGGATAATGTCACTGTGAATAGAGATAGTTTTACCCCTTTCTTTCCAAATTGAATGCCTTTTCTTTCTTTCTGTTCCTCTAACAGCTCTGGCTAGAACTTCCAGTACAATGTTGAATAGCAGTGGTGAAAGCAGGCACCCTTGTCTTGTTCCTGATCTTAAGGAGAAAGCTTTCATTCTTTCATCATTGTTTATGATGTTAACTGTCTTTTCCATAAATACTGTTTATCACATTAAAGAATTTTCTCTCTGATCCTAGTTTTCTGAGAACTTTTATTATGAAAGAGTGTTGGATTTTTGAAATGCCTTTTCTGCATCCATTGAAATGATCATTCCTCCACCGCCCCCCCCCCCCCGCATCGTTCTGTTACTGAGAAGTATGACATTGATTAATTTTCCTATATTGAATTACCTTTGCATTTCTGGGATAATTCTCATTTGTTCATGGTGAATAATCCTTCTAATATACTGTTGGAATCTATTTGTTAAATTTTTGTTGCATCTATATTCATCAGGGATATAGGTCTGTCGTTTTCTTGTGTCTTTATCTGGGTTTGGTATCAGGGTGATGCTGGCCTCATAGAATAAATTAGGAAGTGTTTCCTCCTCTTGCATTTTTTGGGAGGAGTTTGCAGAGGCCCATGTACTGTTACAACCTCTAAGTGTTGGCATGTTCCCCAGCTCAGTCCTGGTCCCTTTTTCGTTCTGTTCACACATTCAGTTTCCTCATCTCTTTACACAGCTATGTGTAGATGCTTCCAGATCTGTATTTCCAACCTTACCTCTCCTCTCAGCACCAAGCTCATTCAGTAACTAGTCCACTCTACAGGTCTAACAGGCTTCTCAATGTTAATATGTCTTCTCCTCCAAAACTTGCTTTTCCCCTAGTCTCTCCTATGTGAGTAAGTAACACCGACTTCCAGCTGCCAATCAGCCCCTGAATCCTTGAATTGCTGTCTTGGTGCTAATTCTCACCTGCAGACGGGAGAATCCACTGGAGCTAATTTATGCAGTAAGGGATGTAATAGAAGATATTAGGTAGATTATAGCACCAATGGGAGGGCCAGGTAACAAGAACAGCCAGAAACATCAACAACCTGGAGAAACACCTGCCCATGCTGTGGGACTGTGTTAGGAAAATTCCCACTGCCTGCTCCCTTCTACTCAGCACTGCTGCTGCTGGGACCAGGACCTGAACTGCCCCAAACAAACCAAACACGTCTACCACCATCAGCTGTGACAGCTACTACTTCCCGTGGCTCCTTCCACATCTTATGTGGTGCACGTCTTAGCAAAAACAGGCATATCTGTGACCTCAAACGCAAGTGACCCGAGGCATGTAGCTTTGCAGTCTCCAGCTTCTGCGTGCAGGAGGGCACACTAGAGGCAGTGGGCATGGGTCACGCGCAGCTCATTCGTAATGCCTCTCAATGTCCTCCTTGGCTTCTCTCTCCCTCACTCTTCACAGCCGGCTGTCAGCCAGTCCTCTCCGTCCTCTCTGCCTCTAAGCATATCCTGCTTTGACCATTTCTCACAACCTCTGTCATCACCACTTTGACCAAGCCCCATCACTCTTACCAAGATTGTGGCAGTTGCTTCCTGACTGCACTCCCTGCCTCAACCATCTGTGGTCTCCACACTGCAGACAGGGGTGAGATATTTGGAATGTAAATCAAATAGTGTCACTTCCTTTCCAGACTCTCCCCACAGTGGTTTCCCACGACACTCAGAATAAAACAGAACCCATAACCACGACCTACTTATCCCTGCAGCCTTTCCAAGCTTGTCTGCTTTGAGGAGCCCTCATTCACCGTGCTCCTATGTACACCAGCTTGCCCCAAGCACACCAGATCCGTTCCCAGCCCAGGGCTTTGCACAAGCAGCTCCCTCGCTTTCTTCCGGTCCCTGCACAGTCTGCCCTGCCTTGACCATCTGCTTTATCCAGACTTATGCTCTCTGTTCATTGGTTTATTATTTGTCTCCCTCCATTGGACCTGACGGGGGCTGTGCAGCAACTAGCCAAAAGTAGGTGATCAGTCAGTACCTTTTGAATAAATGAAACAATCTCAGTTGCCCAAGTTTTGGGGAAAACTTCTTAGAAAATATCCTTGACTTTGTGGATATAGCAAGGAAGAAAACAGATGCCTAGATATTGTGGCTGGAGACAGCACATGGAGGACTCCTGGGCCTGCCCTGTGCAGGTCCAGCTTTCCTCTGCACAACAGAGGTGTGGCAGGACGGGCTCCACCTGCAGGCCCCAGTCTCCAGTAGGATGAGAGCCCAGCCCTGCCAGTGGCTCAGTGATTGAGTGTAAACCTATGAACCAGGAGGTCACGGTTGGATTCCTGGTCAGGGCACTGTGGGGGCTCAATCCCCAGTAGAGGGCGTGTAGGAAGCAGCCCATTCATGATTCTCACCATTGATGTTTATATATATATATATCTGTCTCCCTTCCTCTCTGAAATCAATAAAAAATATATTTTAAAAATTAAAAGAATGAGCGTCCAGGACTGCACCTTGACCAGGGGTCCAGGTCACTGTTGACCTGCCTACAGTCAGCTTCCGGATCCTGGAGGAGCTGCTGAGGGACAAAGCCACCTGCTCTGGGGGTCAAGCCCCTTATTCTGGGACAAGGCCCGGAGGGCTCAGTGGAGAATCCCCGTAAGCCATGTGCTCACTGGGACGGGAAGAGAGGCCCGCAATCGAAGTCCACTTCATCTACACCATCTATACCGGTGGAAATCAGGGGTCCAACTGCCTTCCCCTGCCCATCTGTCTACACTGGGGGAAACCAGGGCTCAATAGTCTTCACTGTTAGAAATCAAGTCTGTTGGGTCTACACGGGCAGAAACCGGGTGCAGAGCCACAGCCACTAATCTGATAATAAGATGGCAAGTCCCGAGTCTTTGGGAGAACAAAGTAGAAGCAAATGCCCCCGTCCCGCCACCCCGCCTCCCCCGCTCTTCACCCCTCCCCCGCCCCCCTCCCCAGCTCCAAGAGGCAGGAGCCCGCGGCCCCGCCCAGGGAGAGCGCCAGGTCCGGGCGCTGGCACTCCGGTCGCCCCGCACCCGCTAAGCCCCCGGGTGGGTGGGAGGTCAGGCCCCGCCCCCTCCCTCCAGGGAGCCCCGCCCCCTCCTGGGAGCCGCGGGGTGCGGGGGTGCAGACCCCGCCCCCGCCGGGGAGACCCCTCGAGGTGAGGTTCCGCCCTCGGGGCCCGCCCACCGCTTCCGCCGCCGCAAGGGCCGGGGGCGCGGCCGGGAGGGTCCGCCGGCGGACTGCGGGCCCCACTCCCGCCTCGGCTCCCGCGGCCGCCTCCGCGGGGACACTGGCCCCCGAGGCCGGACAAAGGCGGCCCGCCATGGCTCTGAGCGCAGACGGCTCCGGCGACAGGGGCGCGGGCGCGCAGGTAGGGGCCGGCCGCGGGTGGGGAGAGGGGGGAGAGGGTCCTGGGCGCCGCCGCCGCCGCAGGGGAGGAACCTTGGCTTTCCGGTCTTTGGAACGCAGTTTAGCAAACTTTTCCCTTCGCCTCATGAATATTTATGAGGAAAATGCGCTTTCCGAGACGGCTGTGCGTTCCCGGGGTCCGGAGGGAGTGCGGAGGTGGGGGTGTGGGACCAGAAGACGCTGTGGGGTTGTCGCTGGGAATCTCCCAAGTTACTCCTTAGCCCAGCGGTGGGACCAGCCGGTGAACGGCGGTGCACCGGGCACAGAATCTACACCGAGAGAACTGCCAGGATTGACTCAGGCTGGGAGGTCAGCTGATTTAAATAATGATCATTGACGAGTAAAACAAGACAGCCGTTTCCGATTTGGGAAAGTGCGATGGAAGCTGCTTGCATGGCTCCGCGCGCAATGCAGAAAGTGGATCGGGTTTGTGCTTCCCTTTTTCCTGTGAAACGAGATGGGAGAGTTTCGGCGAAGTAATTACCCTCGACTCCTGTTGCCCAACAGCACTTTTACTTAAAAAGTTTGGTTGGCACTTTCGGGCGTCTAATTAACAATTAAAACATATAATTCAAAATTAAATTAAATGGAGTTGAAACTGTGCATAATTAATACCTTCCGAGATGGCTGTGCTAACCGGGCATCCGGCGCTGGCAGGAGGGTGAGCCTCTCAGCTTCGTGCAGAGTTCAAAGTGGACAGAAGTGAGGCCGGGTCTCTCGGTCGGGAGGAACTTTCCAGGCACTTTATGGGAAATGTTTGCTCTCTGAAGCATGTTCGGAGGCGGAGATGTTTAACCGCTACGCGTTTCCATTCACGGGATGGGATCCTGTAGGCAGAGCTGGGCATCTGCCACCCGGACAACAAACCCACTTTTGCTTCTGAGGTGGGGCCGCGTTCTGGTCTCTCTGTGCTGGGTCTAGTCTGCAAATGTGCCAGGAGGCCTGGGTGGGGAGCAGAGTGGACTGTTCAGATGGGCCCCAGGGAGCAGAGTCCTGCCCTTCCCACTGGGTGGTGGGCCTGGATGCTGGATAGCCTGTGGCTAGCACGACAGCCTCATGTTTGATTCCATGGGAGGGGTCTGGTGTGGGTCTAGTCCAAATGGCCTTGGTGAAATTAAGACCTTTGTGTCTGTGGTGTCTGTTCGTTCACGGTGGTGGTCTCATGTGGATACTTGTGAAAGCTAAGGAAATAAAGTCGGCCTTGAATTTGAGCTAAGATGTGTGTTCACTGGTTGAATCATCCAACCCAACATAGGAGTCCCCTGCTCCCTGGATCGCAGTGTTTCTTTTTAGAGAATCATTCCAGCTCAGTTCACATGCCACTGCCTCCCTCCGTGCACACAAAACTAATGTGTCCTCTCTTTATGCTTGTAGAGCAGTCATGTAGAGCAGGAGTGGGGAACCTCCAGCCCGAGGGCCATGTAAAGCCCGAGGAATCATTTGTTCTGGCCCTGCCAAGGCATTAAGGGTGAGTTAATTAAATGTTTGATCAAATATAGCCGGCTAATTTTTAACACATTGCGGACCAGTAGTTTTATTGCTAGCTTTACCCAGATAAGTTTCTATTGAACAAGTACAAAAAACATTTTACATAAATGTTAAAGGCACGCTTTAAAATTAAATACCCATTGCATTTTGAAGTTATTTATTACATGTTCTTACAAGCTAATATCTTTTTAAAGAATTCTCGTGATAGGCCACAAACCTTAGAACAGAAAACACGAGAATTCTCGTGATCTGTCCACAATGTGTTAGGTTGATAATTATGTATGGCTTGTGAATGAGGTTATAAATATCCAAATGTCCCTTGGCAGAAAAAAAAGGTTCCCCACCCCTGATATAGCACCTGCTAGGCCCTAATTGCAGCCCACCCAGGTGGGATACCCATTCTACAGATGGTGGAAAGCGAGGCTTTTTGTTGCCTTGTGTCTCCCAGCCAAGATGCAGCCCTAAAGCAGTGAGGTGACAGTTCAGTGTTGAGCTCGGGGCTTCTGTGTCCTGTCCAGAAGCTCTGGGGGTGGGGATTGAGGCTTCCTCACTGCATCCCTGGGCCGGGGCTCATGGTCCAGCTGAGGAGAATGAACCCAGCACACTTGTGAGGGGTGGGGAGTCAAGAGAGGAGGCTGGGGTGAGGGAGGTGGGGCTGGAGAGGGTGGGCTGAGAGGTGCAAAGTCTTGTCCTACGCGTGTTGATCCTGGGGTGTGTGGGGAATCTGGAGTTCTGTGAGGAGAAGGCATCCCACCTTCACTATGTACCTTACAAAGGGCCAGGAGAACAGGTGCCTGTGGAGAGGGGAAGAGGCACCAGAGAACATGCCTGGGGTCTTAGAGATTGGATGTGCATCCACATCCACCCTGTGTTAGCTGTTGGTCTTTGGCCCAGTAGTTCAGCCTCTCTGAGCTTCAGTCTATGCATCGTGTATAGGAATAACACATGGCCCCAGTACCTCTTGGAGCACCATAGGGTCTAATTTAAAAATGGATCTGTAGATGCTTCTGGAAAGGAAACTCAGTTCATCATTTAGCTAAACGTCCTCAAGTTAAAAGCTGCCTCTGTCCTGATATCTGGGACACCTTTCCAGGTGTCTCTGTTCACATCTGGGCCCAAATTCTCAAACACAGAGCATTCAGATACTTTTAGACAAGTGTCTGACCTAACAGAATTTTCCCCAACTCAGAAAATCAGATTGTGCAAAAGATACCTTGTGGTGAATTTCATTTACGTCACTTTAAAACTACTTATGTTTCTGAGACTGAGGAATGGGGTTAAATCTAATGCAACAACAGTTAGAAATTAGCTAATTTCAAGTTCTACACTAGAATTGGTCAAGTCAGCCAGGTAATAAGTAGATGTACCTCACCTGCGCACAGCCCCCTGACCCAGGGACCCCCAGTCCTGGTAGGCATCGCCCTCACACCTCCCCCGCCCAGCCCCTTTCCTGCTTGGTTTCTCCATATGTGGGTCTTCTCCATACGAGAGTCTAAAAATCACCGGTGTCTGGCTCTCCTTAATTGCTTGTCTCCCCAGGCTTTGTTTCAGTCTCCTTGTTTCTCTGATGCCTGGAATAGTGCATGGCACACAGTAGGTGTCACATGATGGTGACCCTTCCCCCTCTTCTAAAGCCCACTTTCACTCTTCTGTCCAGCCCCCAATTTTTCTGGGCCACACAGATGCAGAGCCTGCCCTGTGGGATCTGAGGGAGCAGCCAGGGAAACCTTGTTTGTCTAAGTGGGATATAGTCAAAGCCGACCCAAGACAATTACAGAGAAAGGCTCGGTAAACCCTGGTGTGACGTAATGAGTGTGCTTTGTGTGTGTGTTTTGGGGGTGGGGATGATGGTGAACAGAGCAGAAAAGAAATGCCTGAATTAATTTCAAATGAATGGAAAGGGCAGCTAGGAGGATGACCCCTCCCTTCATTGTCAAGTGGAGGAGATGCGGTTTGGCTTAGTACAAACTCTTTGACCTGTAATGAGCTGTGGCCATCAGGTGACTTTGCCTGGAGAGTGACGGGGTTGGAATGAGTTTCTGAGAGCTCTTGACTCTGTCCCTGCTAGAATGAAACAAAGGGCAGTGTGGCACAGAGGCAGTGGCTCAGTGGTTTGGATGTAGGCTGTGCAGCTGGAGGGGCCTGGGTTCAATCCTGGTTTCCCCATGAGTGGGTGAGCAGGCAAGCCCCTCCACTCACCATCTTTAGAATGGGGATGAAAACAGCATTACCATATGCTTAGAAGAGCATCTGCAGTACCTGAAAAATGTTAGCTGCTATTCTGTGATTCTATAGAGAGAGAGATTTTACCTCAAATAAGAGGTAAAGAGGATTAAGTTTTAATTTGTTGTCAAATCACTTAAGGAAAAATATTCAATGAAGTTATCTTCAAGGCATTTTTGTATTCAAAGATATCAACTGAGAAGAGGGATGATAATTGCTATTATGTGCAGTTTCGAACAACATAATCATCAATTTTTAAAAAAGAAATGTTTTATGAAAGTGCCCAAATCAATAGCCATGAACTTGGTTCCAAGGTCTCAGAGCTTTTCTTCTGGATTATTCAGACTAATCCAGTGTGACTCAGTGGTTGAGCACTGACTTTTGAACCAGGAGGTCACAGTTGGATTCCTGGTCAGGGCACATGCAAGAAGCAGCGGATTGATGATTCTCATTGATGTTTCTATCTCTCTCTCTCTCTGAAATCAATAAAAATATATTTAAAAGATAAAGAAAGAAAACCTAATTGGAGCAAGCATTTGGTCAGCGTGGAGCACCACAGTGGGCAAAGGTGTGAGCATTTCATTCTCAAACTGACATTTGTGTGTCCAGAGACTCTACCATCCTTGACTGTAGCACAGAGACTCACAGTGGCCAGTGACATGTGCTGACTATCCTCGGAGACTAATGTAACCTGTCCCCAAAGCACAACATTACATAGGAAAATCATGTACAAGGGTTGGGTATAGAGAGCAACAGCAGCAAAGGAGGAAAAAGATCTTAGCACAATTTCTGGAAGGTACTATAAATAATTTAAAAAAATAATTTATAAGGTGAAATTCACATGATATAAAATTAACCATTTTAGAGCAAACAGTGTAGTGGCATTTAGTAACATTTACAGTGCTGTGAAACCACCTCTATCTAGTTTCAGAACATTTATGTCACCTCAAAGTAAACCCCCACACCTATTAAGTGTTTTCCCCCCATTCCACCCTTTCCCAGCACTAATGTGCTCTCTGTCTGTGGATTTATCTACTCTGAATATTTCATGTAAATGGAATCATACACTATGTGACTCTTTGAATTGTGTTAAAATACATGTAACATGGAGCTGCCACAGAGCCACTGGACCTGCCCGCCCTACTATGGCCGAGAGCAACGGGGACACAGTGAAGATGCTGCACAAGAAGGGCCCCATAGCTGCACATGCCAAGTCCAGGCAGGCCATCTTAGTGGCTCAGAGAAGAGGAG